CCTCTCTGCGGTCCTCTCTGCCTGTGTGGTGTTACCATACCAGACTGTGATGCTAGTAGTGAGGATGCTCTCTACCAGTCCTCTATAAGCCTGGGTGAGAGGGCAACGGTTCAGACCAGCTTTTCTGAGCCGCCCGATGAAGTATAACTAGGCAGCTGTGTTCAGTGACCAGCTCAGGTCAGATGTCACCTGCAGGCCCTGGAACTTGTGGCTGTCAGCCCTCTCCACCTCAGTCCCTTTGATGGTCAGACGCAGCAGAGGGGAGGGGATCTTTCTGAAGTCTACTTATTTCTTTTGTCTTGTTTGTGTTGAGGATGAGGTCATTCTCCTCTCCACAAACAAGAATGTCATTCACCAAGCTTCTGTAACCCGACTCATCTCCCCCCTTGACAAGGCCCAGAATGGTGGTGTCATCAGCATATTTAATGATGATGGTGTTGTCACGGTTGGAGACATAGTCGTGGGTGTACAGGGTGAAGAGTTTGGGGCTGAGACAGCAGCCCTAAGGTGAGCCTGTGCTTATTGTGAGCTCAGCAGACACCTGCCCTCCCATTCTGACCACCTGTGGTCTTTCAGTCAGGAGGTTCAGAATCCAGTTACAGGTGGGAGATGGGACACTGAGGTCTGTCATCTTCCCAGTCAGCCTGCCTGGAGAGGGTCTACAGTGTCCGGGACCATGTGGTTAACGGACCAGTTTCTCTAAGCACTTCATGGCGACTGATGTGAGTGCCACTGGCCTGAAGTCATTCAGAGTGGATGTGTCTGGTGTCTTAGGGACTGGTATGTTAATGCATTTTTTTGAAAATGCAAGGAACTACTGCGTGGGTTGAAGATGTCTACACACACTAGCTAGTTGATCCCCACAGCCTCTCAACACTCTGGGGAGGACACCGTTTGATCCTGCCGCCTTATGGGGGTTTACCTGTCTCAGGGCCTTCAGGACCTGTGTGTGTCATGTGAAAAGCAGTGTCCCCCGGGTCACAGGGGGATTTTGAGGGGTTGCCTGTGTTCAACCTTTCAAACCTTGCATAGAAGTTGTTGAGGCTGTCCGGGAGGGTGGCGTACACTACACTTACAATGATACATTGCAGCTCCCTAGGTAAATAAAATGGCCTCAGCTTTAGTGTTAAATATTCCACATCAGGGTCCAAGCACCTAAACCTAGTGATTTATGAGCTAGGAGCATTTGTTGTTTTGGAAGTACTGGGACTCGCGTTTTGACTCGAGACTTGTTGGTCCTGACTCTGTACCTGTTAGTTTTGACTCTGACCTTGTTGGCTAACAGACAGTGTTTGGGTAAAACGTAACTGTGCTGCAGCTTCCATCCTTAAGATAAATGATAATAAACAGTAACAAATTAATAATGTGATAAGGAAAACACAGTAAACAAGTTAGAATTGAGTACAGGTAAAATAAACTGGACTGTGGCCCTTGAAGCAGCTTTCCTGGGGGGTTAGAAATTTTAAAATATGAAACCATTTCTTTTCATTGTAATTTTGTACACATGAATGGACTGTTCTAATACGGACTCTCCTGGTCAGTCCACCGTCATGGTCCTCAGGAACATGGTCGGTCCTGACGACATCGACGATGACCTGGAAGGCGAGGTCACTGAAGAGTGTGGAAAGTTTGGCCAGGTGAAGCGTGTCATCATCTACCAGGAGCGTCAGGGCGAGGAGGACGATGCTGACGTCATTGTTAAGATCTTCGTAGAGTTTTCAGAGGCGGCCGAGATGAACCGAGCCATCCAGGCGCTCAACCACCGCTGGTTCGGAGGACGCAAAGTGGTGGCAGAGGTGTACGACCAGGAGCGCTTCGAGACCAGCGACCTGTCTGCATAGAACCAGACACGCAGATGTATGTAGTGTAGAGGCCTCTTTCTTACCTGTCAGAGTTTTTACTGTTTGTCTCCAGAGAAACATTTTTTCTCATCACTTTGTTTCTGTGCAGGATCTAAAGGACCATACCGCTGTTTTTTTTATGTTTCAACTACAACTCATGAACATCATTTATCCCTGCTGATCATTTTCCAAGTCAATTTTATATTGATCTTGTACCTTCCAGGCAGCTGCTAGTTTCATTTCATTTTAGAGTTGAGCCAAATAGTTGATCGGCAGAAGATGAATTGGAAACCATTTTGCTGTTTGGTTCATGGGTTTTTTTTTTTTTCTTTGAAATGTTGGAGACCTGTTGCATTAACAACCGCCCTGCATCTTAAGCCCTTTATCAACTATTTTATGTTAGCTTAACTGAACCTTTGATTGGGAATGTCAGTAATTAAACCATCGTTTGACATTTCAGAGGAGTAGAGGTGCGTTCTTTAGTTATATTCATTTATGGTCTTGAATAGTGTTCCTGCGTCCAAACCTGTTTCAAAGTCTTTTGTGTTCACATGTTGGAAAACTTGTCTAATCCATTACAGTGGCAACTGTTTGATAATCAGTTAAGTCATTTTTCAGTCCAACATGTCAAACTTTGTTTACTTCAAGTCACTTCTCTGTGATGTTTGTTTTCTGTCACAGTAAATCTCTTGGGTTTTGGACAAAACAACTTTGAAGATGTGACCTGGGACTAGGAAACAAATTATGTTTCAGTGTTTCTTAACATGTTCAAGGCTGAGTAATTGATCAGTTATTGAGAAAATAATCCACAGATAGATTAACAATGAAAATACTCATATTGGCTTCAGCCCTCCAGCAGTAAAACAAGGTCTTGCTGGTTTCATAGTGTAAAAAATTAGCAGTTTAGAGGCAGCAGGAGCAATAAGGGGTTAACAGAGATCCTGCAGCTCATTTTGGCCCCTCGCAGGTAAATCGAGTCCTGGTCCGACCAGACATTTGTAAATCTGGATGAAGACTCGTGTCTAGAAAATGGCTGTTTAAAAACTCTGGCTACGTTCAGGGACACTGACATTTATAAACTGATGAGCAGTTTGGACACAGATTTGAGTTAATACATGAACCCAGTTGCAGTCCAGATATTAAGGTTGTCCTAAAGCCAGACACCAGAAACACTTGGATGTATGTATTGAGGTTTTGAACTGACTGATATTCATCCAAATTCAAACTGACTTCAGTCTGTCTGTGTGGTTTATGTATTCCTGTTGAAACCAGGCAGGTTTTTTTTCTCTGAATGCTGTCAGTGTTTAAACCTTGACTTTTCTGACAATTGTTGATTTATCAAACATGGATTCTCCTCAGCAACCTCGGAGAAAAAACAATTTTGTCAGTGGTCAACGTTGAGTTCAAGTTTTTGGAGGTCAAACACCAAAACGTGAATAAAACTTTTCTTTTTTTTTTTTCTTTTTTTTTTTACAGTATCTGCAGAGTTTTTATTCTTCTTTATGTAAAGCTCTTGTCTGATTGACTTTGTAAAAAAAATGTCAGTGAAGATAAAAGCTCTCAGCTCATGAATAATACAGCAGTAAGACAGTTAAACAGTTTCAGAGTTATATTTATATTTATTTTATTTGATAACTTGATCTACAACTTTACTGATCTTCAAACCCGCAACAGAACTCACAAAAAGGTTGTTTTCTTAAAGTTAAAAGGCATTTTCAGTTTTGATCTTGTATTCTCTGAGGTGTGTGACGATGTCTTTGAGCTCCCTTGGTTCAAACTAAGGGCTGCAGTAGAGCCAGCAGACGGCCACTGATGTGTGAAGTGATTTTAGTACCACTACACAGGATAAGAGTAATGTTACTGAATGTTTGTGCAGTAGGCCTCTCTCTTTCAGTGTTGCACTTTGTAGACGGTCCCTGACTCGCCTCAGCCGCTGCACACTGACACCACGGTTGTGTGTTTGCAGCACAGGACAGGTCAGTTTGACACAGATGAGCATGTGGCTTGTTTTCCACATTACTGCGAAGCAACAGATTCATAGTTTATATTTTAGCAACGTTTCACTGTTGATCCAGAAACTATGAATCAGTGGATGTCTTTCCCACTTTAGGTCACCCCCTCCCTTTCAGGTTTTAATTTTAGTAAAGGAACCTGAATATGGTGGCACACCACCATATTCAGGTCCCTCCAGAGATGGTCTATTGGGTTCAGGTCCGGTCTCTGGCTGGGCCGCTCCAGGACTTTGACAGAGCTTTCCTGAAGCCACTCCTGTGTTCTCTTGACTGTATGCTTCGGGTTGTTGTCTTGTTGAAGTGTAAATGTTCGCCCCAGCCTGAGGTCCTGAGCGCTCTGGAGAAGGTTTTTGCTCAGAATTGCTCTATAATTTTCTGCATCCATCCTTCCCTCTAGTCTCCCAGTCACCTTGTGTGACTGTATGGATTGCATTAGTGAGGCAATGCTCGGGGCCTGGTTTTCCTTAAAAACACTGTTGGGAATTGTGGCCAAATAGTTCAGTCTCTGTTTCATCAGACCAGAGGATTTTGCTTCTCATGGTCTGAGTCCTTCCGCTCAGAGGCCGTATTGGTGGAGAGTTGCTCTGATGGCTGACCTTCTGTAAGGTTTTCCCATCTCCAGAAAGGAACTCTGGATCTTATTCATAGTGATCCATAGGTTCTTGGTTTCCAGTCTGACCAAGGCCCTTCATCCCAGACTACTCTGTTTGGCTGGGAGCTCAGATCTATGAAGACTGGTGGTGGTACCAGATCTCTTCCATTTGAAGATGATGGAGGCGGCTGTGCTCTTGGACATTTCCAATGCTGTAGAAATGTTCTTGTATCCTTCCCCAGATCTGTTTTGACACAATCCTGTCTTGCAGGTCTGGACAGTTCTCTCGACCTCATGGCTTTGTTTTTTCACTCTGACATACACCGTCAATTGTGAGACCTTATATAGACAGGTGTGTGCCTTTCATATTTTATTCATTGCGATAAATTAGGCACAGGTGGACTCTAATCAAGCTGTAGAAGCATCCAAAGACCATTGGTAGGAGCAGAATGCACCAGAGCTCAACTGCAAGTGTCATAACAAAGGGTCTGAAATTTAATGTAAATGGGATGTTGCAGCCTTTTAAAAATTAATAAATTTACAAAACAGTTTTCATTTTATCCTTAAAAAATCGAACTGAATCCATTTTAAGATGAGTTTAAACCATAAAATGTGTAAAACTTGAAAGGGTATAAAACACCTTCCGTACAGGCTGCACCTATGTGAAGTCAAGGGTTTGACGGTGTCATTTATTGTGAAATTATGGCCGGAAGTCGCTTGGTGTACGGTGGCCCGGTGGGCTCAGTTCGTGCCGCTCCGCCGCTCCTACTGACGATGGGCGACGTTCTCTGCGAAGAGCTCGAGGATTTGGTTCATTTTTCAGTGCACGACCTGCCGGCACGGGGCTATGTCGTCATGGAGGAGATCCGACGTCAAGGGAAACTCTGTGATGTCACGCTCAAGGTAAACGCAGACACCGCTCGTGGCTGAAGTTTGCCTGCTAGATAACAGCCTGT